TAGGCATATATTAATCAGAGAACAACATGCTGGGATCATGTTACTGATCAAACAATCATATAGAAATCATGAATTAATCGGGTGTTTGTTAAGGTGAAACACTTAAAACAGGATAGAAAGCATGCTAGTTAAGAAACAAGTAGACAAGTGTCCTGGATCAATAGGAACATGCTAAAGTGGAGTAACCATACTAACTTATTGGTCAGGACAAACTCATAGGAGTTTAAGCATGCTAGTCAACAGAATCATAAGGGCAAATAGAGGCATGTTGATACCAACAGCAGATTGACTACATATCACATTGAGTAGGACATGATAACAGAGATAGACATGTCGTTTAAAGGCAGTAAACAGGAAGCACATAGGTCACATTACATAGAAGTAGACATGCTGATTAAGATCAACAAGCATGAAGCACATAGGTCTTCTTACATAGCATGTTGAATGATTGCAGAAGTGGAGACATACAAGTTAGGAAATAGTAAATAGGAAGTTGGAAGTATTCAGAATCCAATAGTCTAGCCTTGGCTTTCAGCCGGCTAGACAATGTAGCAAACACAAGTAACATAAAGGTTTGAATGAGAGCAACAACTTGTGTCTGCGTGTGTGTTTCTTTCTGAGTGTGTTCGTGTTTTATAAGAAAATCAGAATGGGGTTTATATAGCACTTAGAAAGGTCAAACATATAAGGCAAGAGAATTACAGTTCATAAGTAAGGTAAGCAAATATAATTAATTAGTGAATTAGGGCTAAACCCAAGCTAATTGATACAAACAAAATCTGGAAATGTCACCTTAAAATAAGGAGAATCAGTTACCAGCACGGATTGGGATTCAAACAAGGCAAATAAATCAATTATTGACCATAAATTAGAATAATTAATCCAAATAAGGAAAGTGGTACCAATCAAAATTCATACATAAGGAAAATAGGTAAAATCACGGGGAAGTACTGATTTTAACAGGAAAATATAATTCAAACCCTAAATAAAATCAGTCAATCTATATTGATTGACACAGATAAACAATAACAGGAAAAAATTGAAGTAATTAGTGCAATAAGCAGAGAAACCTAGGGTTTAAAGCATATACACAAAAATTAGTCAAACTAGTAAAGATAATCAGATTCAAACACTTAGGAGTTTTAAAACCTTTTTGGAGAGATCTTGAAACGAAACCCTAATTTAAGAAAACATTGGAATCGACTAGTAATAAGGAAAAACAGAGGGTTATTCAAAGAGAAATACCAAATAACACTTAAACGTCTCAGATCTACAAGGATCTTAACAGACCCAAGTAGCATAAGATTAGGGTTTAAAAAAATGACAGAGTTGAAAGAGAACCTGGTTTAAAACCATAGATTCGAGCCATAAACACGAAGATAATGGTACTCACAAATGGAAATGGCCATAGGTAGATTATGAAAAGGTTATGAACAAAATCTGAGTTGAATCTCTTCGAGATTTTCTCATAAACCAACGTAATCAAACAACCAGAAGAGGTGAGAGGCCGGTAGTTTCCGGAAATTACAGAGAAATCCCATGGGACGGGGGTTTTTTCGGTGACGGTGGCTAGGGTTAGGGGGAGTGCTTGAGAGAGAAAAGGATAGGTAGGGAGAACGAAGACGGCGGAAATGAAAAGTGTGGTAGGGTTTTGGGGGGTTGGCTTAATTAAAAAAGGAAACTATATCCTGGACCGTTGATCTCTTGAGATCAACGGCCAGGATTAGTTAAAGGTTGGGGAGGGTTAGATGAGGAATTGGGCCTGGGTATTTTTGATTGGGCTAAGGGTAGGATTTGCGCTAGGTCCGGAATTAAAACAAAAATCAAAAGGGCTATTTGCTGAATACTCAATTAATTTGATAAATAATTTTGAAAATAATTAATAAATAATTAATAAATAATTAAAAATTATTTTCATGTATAAAAAATGATTTAAAAATAATTACTTAATATTATAAAATTATAAAAAGCTATTTTCTAATGAAATAAAGTAATGATGCATACATAGGCTATTATTGCAAATTTATTGCAATTATAACCCAAAAAATGTAAATGTGGCTATTCATGAAATAATTAAAGCTTGGTATAAATAAAAATGATAAAATTGAACCATAAAATTATTATAAAATCATTTGTGATGCAATTAGTAATTACTTATATAATAAAATGCTAGAATTAATTAATTAAAATCCTTCTAAAAAATACAAAAAGATTGTGGAAAATACTGGTTGATGCTCATGCACTATTTTGAAAGTTTATGTGAATTTTGAAATATATGAGAAAAAAATTGGGTATCAACAAGGGCAAGAAAAGACTTAAGTTTGGGGGAGTTGATAAGCGGAGATTTTGACTACTTATTCGCACCTTTTTGCTTTTGTTTTAGTCCAAAAATACAGATTTACGTTCCCAAAACTAATAAAAATGTGCAAATTGGAGGAATGTTGGAAGTTTGATCTCCCATGATAAAATCCGACTCCAAAAAATAGGAGTGTTTCGAATCATAAGGCACTAAAGGGCACAGAATTAAAGAAGTGCGTTCCACAGAAGAATTTCTGCAGTCGCAGAAGAAAGTGCAGACTGCAGAATTCCATCTACAGCCGAAGACCAAGTGAAAGAGCCCAGGAAGACTTTGGCCAATGTGCGGACCGCACATGAATTGTGCGACCGCAGAAAAAGGTTTGCACTGGCAAATGATTCAAAGTTCAGAGAGTATGCAAAAGTCCAAGACCTGAAGCCTTGCTGAAGTGTGGACCGCACAAGAATTGTGCGGCCGCAGAAGATGCTTCGCAGCCGCAATCTAGAACTGTGCGACTGCAGAATCCAAGATCTTGCCAACTAAAGAAATCTGTGGACCGCACATGGAATTGTGCGGCCGCAGAACCTCCCGAGGGGTATTTTTGTCACCGAATTTCCAGCCACTATAAATTGATGAGTTTAAATTTTTAGGTCAATTTCCGAAGTTTGAGCTGATGTAGCCATTATATTTTGCCATTTTAGGAAGGTTGTGACTATTTTAGTGTTTAAACATTATACTTTATCACTTAATCTTAGATTATGAGTTCAATTAGCGTTTCTTCTTGTTTTTCTTCATTTTTTTACTATGAGTAGCAAGATTCTTAGTAGGATTGTGACACAACCCTAGTGTGTAAACCTTATGGGTACTTAATTTAATGCTTATTTATGATTGGGTGTTGATTATTTAGCTTAGTTAATGCTTCAATTTAAGAATTAATGGTTGAAAATATTAATTCATGCCTTTTTGACTTGGTCTCTACTTGAGAATGAGAGACCTAGTCTAGGATAACTTGGATACAAAGGAATTGGGCTAATTGAGGGTTTGATTAGCCTAATCAAAGGGTTCAAACTAGAGATAGAGAGAGCCTGACTTGAGCTCATATCAACTGTTTAATTTTAAACACATTTGGATTTGAGAAAGTCAAATTGGACAAAATCACTCTATGACCAAGAGGTATTGAATGGGTAATGTAGAGTTGAGAGCTATAATACACACCAATCAATAAAACAGGTGTTAGTGTATTTAACCCATTAGGTGAACACCTAGGTTATTGTCACATCCCTAGGCTTTTTAACTATCTGAAAAAACACCAAAAACTCTAATTCGCTTCTAGTTTCTTTTCTTAGTTTATAATATCTAGAGTAAAATTAGAATTAGAAATAAAAACCTTTTGTGGAAGTGCAATTTAGTTATTCCATTCGCTTTCATCAACTGTATACTCCTAACATCCCTAGTAACTCCCAATGGAAATTGACCTCAACTCTTGTTGGATACTATTCTTCCAACGATCGTTTCCACTCACTGTTGAGTGTGGATTGGACGTGGATCAATAGCACACGGAAATTAGGAAATCGAGCGGAATTCCAGTTTTATGGCCCTAATATGCCAAAAAATAAGGAACGGTCATGGCGGGGTGGTGACTATTGTTCCTTAGGTCATTTTTTATGGAACGAAAAAAATTTAGGCAATCCGAGTCTAGGGATCGAGCCCATGTGTAAATCGTGGGATATGGCAAATGAAAATCAAGAAATCGGGCGAAATTCTAGTATTATGACCCTAGAACGCCAAAAAAAAAAGGAACGGTCATGGCGGGGCGGTGAATATTTTTCCTAAGGTCATTTTTATTGCCCGAAATTTTTTTAAGAGATCTGGGTTCGGGAGCCTGGGCCCATGCGAAAGGATGGCTTATAGCACACGAAAATCAGGGAATTAGGCGAGATTCTAGTTTTATGGCCCTAAAACGTCAAAAAATGAGGTCGTTTTTTATAGACTGAAAATTTTTTAGGAGATCTGGGTCTGGGGGCCTGGCCCATGTGGAAGCCGTGGGCTATAGAACATAAAAATCAGGGAATTAGGATGAATTCCAGTTATATGGCCCTAAAACACCGAAAAACGAGAAACAATCATGGCAGGGTGGTGACTATTGTTCTTAGGTCGTTTTTGATTGCTCGGAAAAATTTTTGGCGAACCGCGTCTGTAGGCCAGGGCCCATGCGGAAGGCATGGGCAGAAGCACATAAAAATCTGAGAATCGGGCAAAATTTCAATTGTGTGGTCCTAAAACGCCAAAAAATATCTAACGGTCATGGCGGCCGGTGACTATTGTTCCTTATGCCATTTTTATGGCACAACTTTTTTAGGCAATGCAGGTCCAAGGGCTCGAGCCCTTGCAAAGGCGTGTGCTATAGCACACGAAAATCAGGGAATCGGGCGGAATTCCAGCTCTATGGCCCTAAAATGCCAAAATGAGGAAAACATGGAGGGGCAGTGACTATTAGGTTATTTTTAATGGCGCAAAATTTTTTTAGACAATCTGTACCTAGGGGCCCGGGCCCATGTGGATGGCATGAGCTATAGCCCACGAATAGTAGGGAATCGGGCGGAATTTAAATTTTATGGCCCTAAAATACCAAATAAGAAGGAACGGTAATTGCGGGGCAGTGACTATTGTTGATGAGATTATTTTTTCTGTCCCGAAAAAATTAATGGCGATCCAGGTCTGGGAGCCCGGGCCTATGCGAAGGCATGAGAGATAGCAAAGGAAAATCAGGAAATCGGGCAGAATTCTAGTTTTATGGCCCTAAAATGCCAAAAGAAACAAGGAACGTCCATGGCAGGGCGGTGAATATTATTCCATTGGTCATTTTTTATGGATCGAAAAACTTTTAGGCGATCCGGGTTCGAGGGATCGGCCCATGCGAAATACGTGGGCTATAGCACAAAAATCAGGCAATTAGACGGAATTCCATTTTTATGGCCCTAAGATGACAAAACACGAGGAATAGTCATGGCAGGGCGATGAACATTATTTCTTAGGTCATTTTCTATGGACAGAAATGTTTTTAGGTGATCCGAGTCTGGGGACCCAGGCCCATTGATAAGCTAGGACTTTAACGTGTTTTATGCCCCTACTTGCCTACGCTTTGGTTATAAATTGCTACAAAATAGTCCTAAAATGCTCACAAGTTGTACTTGATTGCAGGTTTGATCGACAAAGCAACGAAAGTCAAATATCGGCTTAGAAAGGAGTGAAACCTGCTCAAGTTTCAAAGACTAAGGAAGTTAAGGAAAAGAGGACCTAGTGCGGACCGCGCAACTGTGAACGCGGCCGCACTAGGAAGTTCAGAGGATGGCAGATTCAAGGGGAAGGCTACGCCGCCGCGGTTATTTCCACGCGGTCCGCGGTCAGTCTCCTCGGCCGTGCTACTCTTTTATGCGGTCCGCGAAGCAGAGATTCAGAGGGCCAAAATTTGACCCCTTCCAAGCAAAGCGGCCCGCGTTCATTTTTGTGCGGCCGCGCCAACTTCCACCGCGGCCGCGCTACATATTCACGCGGTCCACGGTCCTCAACTTCAGAGAAGCAAAAACCAAGACTTCAAGAGCCAGTGCGGCCGCGGTCATGTTTGCGCGGTCCGCGCTAACCCCGCAGGGGCATTTTTGTCCAGTTTTTCCAGCCCAGTATAAATAGGACCTTTTTCCATTTTTAGGTGAAGTTTTATGTTCTGAACGCAGATGAGCTCGTGAGACCGAATAGTTTAGCCATTTTTGGCACTTTTGCTCTTCAATATTGTATTTTCTTCCTAATAATTAATTAATATGCTTACTTCTTCATCTATTTCTTTAATTTTTCATCTAGCATGAGTAGCTAGACTCACTAGCTAGGGTTGTGGCTCAACCCTAGTATGGGTAATTGATGGGTGTTGCCATCTAAGGTTAGATTGATTTTGGGTGTTTGTTATTTGGGTTAATTTTAGGTTTTAATTAAGGATTGGTGGTTGCAAACACTGATTCTAGCTTGGTGAGTTTAACTCTTCTTGAGAAATTTGGCCTAGTTGCACTTCTAGGTTCCGGATAGATGTGTTGTGGGAAGCCAATTGAGCATCAGAGTCTTGGTTATTTTTCATCATTTGTTCGAACATCATTTCCATTCTTCCCATATCACTACCCGAAGAACTAGACCCTTGAGATTGAAAGGGGGTGGATTGTTTGGTTGTTGGAACATGGGGGGCCTTTGAAAACCTTGCCCCCGGTTGCCTTGATTTCCATTGTTATTCCACCCGCCTTGACTATTGTTGTTGTTCCAATTATTATTGTTCCCGTTCCAATTGCCTTGATTGTTACCTTGGTTACCCCAATTGTTGTTGTTCCAATTGCCGCCACCATGTTGTTGGTTGTTATTATTCCAATTACCGCCACCTTGTTGATTGCCCCAATTTCCTTGGGGGCGCCACTGTTGATTCCCTTGATTTCCTCTATTCCCTTGGTAGTTATTGACATATTTACATTCCTCGCTTTGATTATCATAGCACTCATTCGAATAACCACCACCATCATTGTTGTTGTCAAATTGCTCACAATTACCTTGAGGTTGTTGTTGCCCTCTTTGCCTCCATTGCATTGACTTGGCGCGGGTTTTGGACTTGTTGCAATTGCGCCTTCGCCAATTGATTCATAGTTGTTGTAAGCTCGGTAATAGCTTGGCCATGATCGTTCAATTCCTTGTGCAAATGGATGACCGTGGGGTCACCTTGGGGCACATTCTCTCGGCTTTGCCATGCCGAAGAAGTGTCGGCCATTTCATCAAGTACATCACAAGCTTCTTGGTAAGAGAGTTTCATAAATTTCCCGCTGGCTAATTGGTTCACAATGCACTGATTCGTGGTGTTGATGCCCCTATAAAAAGTTTGCTGGATCATCGCCTCGGTCATGTCGTTATTAGGGCACTCCTTCACCATTGTTCTGTATCTTTCACCATTGTTGCCAAATTTCTCAAGAAGATTTAAACCCACCAAGCTAGAATCAGTGTTTGCAACCACCAATCCTTAATTATAACCTAAAATTAACCCAAAAAACAAACACCCAAAATAAATCTAACCTTAGATGGCAACACCCATCAATTACCCACACTAGGGTTGAGCCACAGCCCTAGCTAGTAAGTTTAGCTACTCATGCTAGATGCAAAAATTAAAGAAATAGATGAAGAAGTAAGCATATTAATTAATTGCTAGGAAGAAAATACAATATTGAAGAGCAAAAGTGCCAAAAATGGCTAAACTTCTCAAGCTTTGAATACCCGACCTAAGGGTGCTCTACCAAGTGACACGGTAGTGAACCCGAAGGGAGGGAACAATCATGTGATGGCAGTCACAAGGAGAAGCGGAAGAGGCGGTGATGTGCATGCCTCGAATGAAGATCGAGTTGTGAATGATGATGTTGGGTTTCAAGAAGATGTGGGTCCTTTAATTGTTGAAGATGTGGTTGAGTCAAATGGGAACAATGAGGTGAGGATAGATATTGATGAGGCTGAGGTGGAAACTCAAGAAGCCGTGAACCCATCTAGGGAGCACATAATCGACATACCGGAGCCGGTGGTGTCAAAAGCCAAGTCACCTTTGCCTAGACCACCTCCACCTTATCCTCAGTGGTTAGCAAAGCAAAAGAGTGACAATCAGTTCAAAAAATTCATAGATATGATGAAAAGCCTTACAATCAATGTGCCTTTGGTGGAGGCACTTGAACAAATGTCGGGCTATGCGAAGTTCATGAAGGATTTGGTTACAAAGAAGCATTCCATGGATTGTGAAACAATAAAGATGACTCACAAAGTCAGTACGATAGTGCATTCTATGGCCGCGAAACTTGAGGACCCTGGAGCTTTTACTTTTCCTTGCACTATCGGTAGTGCGGAGTTTGCTAAGGCCCTTTGTGACTTGGGGGCTAGCATTAATTTGATGCCTTATTCTGTCTTCAAGACTTTGGGAATTGGGCAACCTAGGCCCACCTCAATGAGACTTCAAATGGCGGACCGGTCGATGAAGCGGCCTTTGGGTATAATTGATGACGTTCTTGTCCGGGTGGACAAATTTATATTGCCGGCTGACTTTGTCATATTGGATTGTGAAGTGGACTTTGAAGTGCCGATTATTCTTGGGAGACCTTTCCTAGCTACGGGGAAGGCCTTGGTTGATGTTTAAGCAGGTGAGTTGACATTTCGAGTGAGAGATGAGAAGGTGGTATTCCATGTTTGCAAATCAATGAGACAACCCAATAGCACGGAAGTGTGTTCACTTGTGAACATTGTCACATCTGTGATAGTGGATGACACAAGTTCCATGATAAATGTTGAAGATCCTCTTGAGGTCGTGCTTCTTGACATGGATGTTGATGATGATGCTAGAAGAGTAGAGTGCGTGAATGCATTGCATGGAATGGGTTCATATTCATATGAGCCTAGGAAGTTATCTTTGGATCTTGAAAACCGCAAAACTCCGCCAACTAAGCCATCCATTGAGGAGCCACCGGTGTTGGAGTTGAAGCCACTTCCTCCACACCTCAGGTATGAATTTTTGGGCTCTAATTCAACTCTTCCAGTTATTCTTTCTTCTTGCCTTACTAACTTGCATGTTGAGGCCACTTTGGAGGTGCTTCAAAGGCGAAAAAGGGCAATAGGATGGACTCTGGCACACATTAGGGGAATAAGCCCCGCATTTTGCATGCATAAGATCATTTTGGAGGAGGATGCAAGGCTGTCCCTTGAACATCAAAGAAGACTAAATGAGGCGATGCAATAAGTGGTAAAGAAAGAGGTTATCAAGTGGCTTGACGCCGGTGTGGTTTATCCAATCTCTGACAGTTCGTGGACTTCTCCGGTCCAATGTGTGCCAAAGAAAGGAAGGATGACGGTGGTGACCAATGACAACAATGAGCTTATTCCCACTCGAACCATTATCGGGTGGAGAGTTTGTATGGACTACCGGAAACTCAACAAGGTGACCCGCAAGGATCATTTTCCCTTGCCATTTCTTGATCAAATGCTTGATCGTCTTGCGGGGCGGGCTTTCTATTGTTTCTTGGATGGGTACTCGGGCTACAATCAAATTTTAATCGCCCCGGAGGACCAAGAGAAGACTACTTTTACATGCCCCTATGGTACATTTGCTTTCTCCCGGATGCCATTCGGGTTGTGCAATGCTCCGGCGACCTTCCAACGTTGCATGATGGCTATTTTCACCGATATGGAGGAAGACATATTGGAGGTCTTTATGGATGACTTTAGTGTGGTTGGCGACTCTTTTGATGAATGCTTGGTAAATTTGGATAGAGTCTTGGCCCGTTGTGAAGAAACTAACCTCGTTCTCAATTGGGAAAAATGCCATTTTATGGTTGAAGAAGGTATAGTGTTGGGCCACAAGATTTCAAAACATGGGATTGAGGTAGATAAGGCGAAAATTGAGGTGATTTCAAGGCTTCCTCCCCCTACTTCTGTCAAAGGGGTGAGGAGTTTTCTTGGGCATGCCGGGTTTTACCGGCGGTTTATCAAAGATTTCTCGAAGGTTGTGAATCCACTTTGCAAATTGCTAGAGAAAGATGCCAAGTTTGTTTTTGATGAAAAATGCATGGAGGCCTTTGAACTCTTAAAGCACAAGTTGACCACTACCCCTATCATAACCGCACCTAATTGGAGTTTGCCCTTTGAACTAATGTGTGATGCTAGTGATGTTGCAATGGGGGCGGTGTTGGGTCAACGGGTTAACAAAATGTTCCATCCCGTGTATTATGCAAGTAAGACTATGAATGAAGCTCAACGAAATTACACGGTGACGGAGAAGGAGTTATTGGCCATTGTATTTGCCATGGAGAAATTTCGGCCCTATCTTATGGGGGCCAAGGTGATTGTGCACACGGATCATGCCGCCCTTAGGTATTTGATGACCAAAAAGGATTCCAAAGCAAGATTGATGAGATGGGTGTTACTTCTCCAAGAATTTGACTTAGAAATAGTGGACCGAAAGGGAAGTGAGAACCAAGTTGCGGACCATTTGTCCCGGTTGGAGGAAGAAGGGAGGCCATGTGACGGCCTTGAGATAAATGATGCATTCTCCGACGAGAAACTTCTTTCTGTGTCAATGTGTGATATGTCATGGTTCGCGGACATCGCCAACTTCATTGTGACCGGAATTGTCCCGTGTGAGCTCTCTTCCAACAAAAAGAAGAAACTCAAACGGGATAGTTTGGATTTTTATTGGGATGATCCGTACTTATTTAAAATTTTCACGGATGGTGTGATTAGAAGATGTGTCCCGGAAGGTGAACAATTGAGCATATTGGAGGCTTGTCACTCCTCCCCCTATGGTGGCCATCATGGAGGGGTGAGGACGGCTTTAAAGATCTTGAGTTGCGGTTTCTATTGGCCGACATTGTTTAAAGATGCTAGTGATTTGGTAAAGAGATGTGATGCATGCCAAAGGGCCGGCGGAATTTCAAAAAGGGTTGAGATGCCTCTCAATACGATTCTCGAGGTGGATATTTTTGATGTTTGGGGCATCGATTTCATGGGTCCTTTCGTGATCTCTTGTGGGAACACTTATATTCTGATGGCGGTGGACTATGTCTCCAAGTGGGTGGAAGCCGTGGCTTTACCCAACAATGAAGCCCGTAGTGTTGTGGCATTCTTGAAAAAGAGTATCTTCACAAGGTTTGGCACCCCTCGTGCTATCATTAGTGATGGGGGGTCTCACTTTTGCAACAAGGCTTTCGACTCATTGCTTGCTAAGTATGGAGTAAATCACAAAGTGACCACCCCCTATCATCCTCAAGCTAGTGGTCAAGTGGAAGTGTCCAACCGAATAATAAAGAGCATCTTGTCCAAGACGGTAAATGCTAATAGAACAGATTGGTCGAAAAAGTTGGATGACGTTTTATGGGCGTATCGGACGGCTTACAAGACCCCAATTGGTATGTCCCCGTACCGGTTGGTGTTTGGGAAAGCTTGCCATCTTCCGGTGGAATTGGAGCACAAAGCTATGTGGGCCTTGAGAAAGTTGAACTTGGAATGGGATGTTGCGGCGAATCTCCGTGTTGAGCAACTTAATGAGCTTGATGAGTTTAGATTTCATGCCTACTCCAGCTCGTCCTTGTATAAGGATAAGATGAAGTATCTTCATGACAAATATGCTCGGGGAAAGGAATTCAAGGTTGGTGATATGGTTCTTCTTTTCAACTCCCGGTTGAGGTTATTTCCGGGAAAGCTCAAGTCAAAGTGGAGTGGGCCATTTGAAGTTGTATGTGTGACTCCGTTTGGTGCTCTTGATCTCAAGAACAAGAATGGTGAAATTTTCGGGGTCAATGGGCATCGTGTCAAGCATTATTTGGGGAAGTTTGATGACAGCCACGTGGTGGCACTCATTCATTTGAAGTGATGTGATGGTAACATGCGTCGTGCCGCGACGTTAAATCAGGCGCTTCTTGGGAGGCAACCCATGTCTTTTTCTTTCTCTTTGATTTTCTTTGTAGCTTAGGATTTTTGAGCTAATTGTTTGTAAGATGTTGCAGGGATTGTGTTGAAGCAGTGTAAACAAAGGAAAAACATTTGGTAGTCTCTGAAGTTGCCAGTGCGGACCGCGGTGCACTTTTGTGCGGTCCGCGCTAGCATGATCAAAATAAAGTGCTCTCTGAAGTTTTCCACCGCGCCTGCGGTCAAGTTTGTGCGGTCCGCAGTGGACCTTCGCATCCGCAGTACACTTTAACATGGCCGCGCAAGGTTGCCTTCTGAAACATCAAATTTTGAAACCCAGTGCGGTCTGCGGTCACTTTTGTGCGGCCGCGCTGGTAGGTAAGTGTGGGGCCCCCAGTTCTTCTATAAATAGAGCCCTAGGGTTTCATTTTACCCATTTCGTACTTTGAACACTCAGAGCTATAGGGCACTGTTCATTCCCTTCTGAGACTACTTTTCTGAATTGCTTGGACTAATTGCATTCCATCTTCACAGACTTGGTAACATTTCATGCACTTGTGATTAATTAATTTCTTATTTTCATTTTTTATGGATTGTTCGGTAGTTTAGCTTCTTCTTTTCATTTAACTGTTAGTTTAGGTTAGTTTAAAACCAGGGTAATGCATTGAACAGGCTTAATCAATGGGTGAACTGAGTAGGGACAAAGTAGGTGTAAAAACTTGAACAAGAATGGAAAAATATGCACCCCTAACTTAGTACCCGTAAACCCTAGCTCAGCGCGGTCCGCGGTCACTTTTGCGCGACCGCGCTGCCCTAACGCGGTCCGCATTGCAATTTTGTGTGGACCGCGGTGCTGTTGTGATTGGAAGGTAATAGTCTCCAGCGCGGCCGCATTTATGTTTGTGCGGTCCGCGCTGGCCCACCGCGGCTGCATTGCATTTTTGTGCGGACCGCGGTGGGAGATTCAGAGAGTGTAATTTTGGGCCTTTGCCCAGCGCAGACCGCGGTCACTTTTGTGCGGTTCGCGGTTCTATGTTCTGCAACCTGTTCTGCATCTGTGTACTGATATTATCTCTGCAATCTATTTTATTCACCTGATTCACTGCATGTGCTTCTACTAACAATGTTAGATGTTTATCTTTGCAGACAATGGTTAAACAACGGGGCGCCAAACAATCACAACAACCCGGGAGAGGTGGTTCCTCCCGAGGGGGTAAAGGAAAGAGAATTGCAAAACTCACTCCCCAGGCTACGGAAAACATAAAAAGAACCCGCAAATTGATACGAGCTGCTAACAAGGCTGCATCTCATTCATCGAGGAGTGAGTATGTGCCCTCCAAATAGATCTCCTCCGATTCAATCCCAACTCATGTAACTGACCCCCTCCACCTAGCTGATACCCCTTCACCATCACCCACTTCCAAAAGACCAGTGACCGTAGTCTTGGATTCTTCTGACGAGTCCGCAGCTGGTAGTGAGCAATACTCCACCTCCCACAGCTTCATTATTTGGGGAGAGTGCAGGCCAAGATGAGGGAGGTGAACCTCAGATTGGGGGGATTGAGAGAACTAAGAAGCCTGAAGTTTGGGAGGATCGATTTGTCAGTCAAGTGGCATTTCACAAGTTTAGGGAATGGTGGACGTTGAGGAAGTTGATACCGGAGAGGACCTTTATTGACACTGACCTTTTACCCCACAACCCGAACGTGCAGAGAGAGTTCAGAACAAGATGGGGCTGGGAGTTCTTCATGGAGAGGTGCATCGATGCTAAAGAGCACATGGTCAGGGAGTTCTACTCCAATGTGGCTCACATTGTAAAAGATACTAAGGTGACCAATGTTCGAGATAAAACAGTGCTGTTTGATGGGAGATCGTTAAATGAGTATTTGGGGTTTCGTGATGAAGATGAGTCCCTTTATTTGGCAAAGTTGGCAATGGGAGAGGAAGTTCGCCCGTGGTTGGCCCAGTACTTGGCAATCCCAGGTACTGTGCCAGAGTGGTTACAAGCGGGGAAGAAAATATTTAGGAAGACATTCAGCTTTGAGGCTTGAGGGTGGTTGACATTTGTCTGCAGTCGGCTTGACCCTTCCACTCATGATCAGACCAGTCCACTTACCCGAGCAGTTCTGGTTGCATCTATTATGGCCGGGTACCCTATCAACGTGGGCAATGTGATGTCCCGTGTGATTTCTGCGGTAGGGCAAGAGCATGACAGGAATTATCCTTTCCCCAACACCCTATCAATATATTTTCGGGACCTGGAGGTGGAGAAGAGGAGATATGATGTCAAGACCAAGCCTGTGGCCCCCTATTCTTGGTACAGTATGTAGGGTCCGGACAACCCTAAATCCAAGAACTACAAGCCACCTACCTCTGCCCCTACTGGCCAGTCTGAGGAGCCAGTTGCGGTAGAGCCTACTACCGAGCCTTCCACCATACCTGCTGCCACTACAGCTGAGGACTTGCCTCCAGGACCTTCTTCTTCTGCTGGTCCCAGTACGTCTGCTGGCCCGAGAGTGCCATCTTCTAGGACTCATCCATTCACTGCCCATCAGTTGAGTCAGACTTTGGCTAGCCTGAACAACTGGATGTCAGCTGCGACATCCAAGTTGTCCACCTTATCTTCCACTATTCAGACCCAGGCAGCACCTCAGCCAACTCAGATTCCTCAGTCCATTGAGGATACTTTGAAGAAGCTCCTGGAGAACCAGGAAAAGATTTTGAAGACTCAGGCTACCCTATCTGCAGTAGCGGAGTCACATGGCAAGGCTCTGAAGGAGCTTTCCAAGAAGCACAGAAAGATGCGGAGGTCACGGGCTTCAAAGGAGTCTATGAAAAAGCTGCGGAAAGATCTGGACAAGCTATTGGCAGATCAGATGCCTTTAGACTTGTTATTTGGGGATCCAGCCCCTCCAGCAGCACCACTAGTGCCACAGCCAGAGCAGGAGCAGGTACCCAGGCAGCCTAGGAAGAAGAGGAAGCTCCCCAGCACAGCGGATGCAGTTATTGAGGTGGCAGTCCCACAGGAGGCCTCCTCCACTTTGCCTCAGGATGCACCTGTCATACAGCCGGTCCAGGATCAGGTTCCAGTGCCACA